AATGTCCTGGGCCTTCCCGCGTGCCTCCTGGGCTTTGGAGAATGGTGACGCTGGAACTTTCCAGGCCCAAGAGGGCTCCAAGAGGCCCCCAGGAGGGTCCAAGAGGACCACGAGCCGCCGAACGATCGCTCCACGACGCTCCAAGAGGCTTCCCATGAGCTCAAGATCGTGGACTTTCGATATAGAGATGCATGTGTTTGGCTTTCTCGCTTGTTCGGTTTCCCGACGCTCCCCGACGGCCCTCCGAGGCTCCCAAGATCGCCCCAAGACGGCCCAAGAGCCTCCCAAGAGGGCCTCACAACGGCCCAAGAGTGCCCCTCAGGAGGCTCCAAGAAGCCCCCAAGAGGCCCCCAGGAGGCCCCAAGAGGCCCTCAAGAAGCTTCCAGAAGGTTGCCACGAGGCCCTAAAACAGCCCCAAGACGCTCCCGAGAGCGCCCCGAAAAGACACGAACCCGCCGACCCCAGAGGCGCGTGAGGAGAAGCATGTGTTACCGCCGCCGAGCACCCACCACGCCCCGGCACCCCCACACCACGAGCTCAGTTCGGGGGACCCCCGACATGACAAATTCTAGCTCGAAGCCTAGCAACACCCCCCACCGCGCCCCCATTACGTCCAGGTCTCTACACCATGAGAGCTCCATTCTCGGGACCCCACACACGACAATTTCTGGCCCGAAACCCACCAACACCCCCCACCGCGCCCCCACCACGTCCCGGCACCCCCACCCACGAGAGCTCGGTTCTCGGGACCCTCCACACAACCTCCCCTGGCCCGAAGCCTACGACCCCCCTCCCCCCCGCGCCCCCGTCATGCCCCCGCACCCCACCGCACGAGAGCTCAGTTCTTGGGACCCCCCCACCTGACACTTTCTGGCCCGAAACCTACCACCACCACCAACCCCCGCGCCCCCACCACGCCCCCGCACCCCCACCCCACGAGAGCTCAGTTCTTGGGACCCCCAACGCGACAATTTCTGGCCCGAAACCTACCACCACCACCACCACCACCACCACCACCCGCGCCACCACCACGTCCCTGCACTCCTACTCCACGAGAACTCAATTGTCGCGACCCCCCACGCGGCAATTTCTGGCCCGAAACCTACCCCCCCCGGGCCCCCAGCTCAGTCAGTTCTCGGGACCCCCCACGCGACAATTTCTGGCCCGAAACCTACCACCCCACCCCCCGGCGCCCCCACCACGTCTGGCATGCCCACCCCACGAGAGCTCAGTTCTTGGGACCCCCCACACGACGATTCCTAGCCCGAAACCTACCACCCCACCTCCCCGCGCCCCCACTACGTCCAGGCACCCCCACCCCACGAGAGCTCAGTTTTTGAGCTTCCACACGACCAAATCTTGCCCGAAGTCTACCACCACCCCCGCCCCGCGCCCCCACCACGTCCCGGCACCCTCACCCAACGAGAGCTCAGTTCTCGGGACCCCCCACGCGACAATTTCTGACCCGAAACCTCCCCTCGCGCCCGCACCACGTCCGGGCATGCCCACCCCACGAGAGCTCCGTTCTTGGAGCCCCCCACGCGACAATTCCTGGCCCGAAACCTGCCAACACCCCCCTCCGCGCCCCCACCACGTCCCAGCACTCCCACCCAACGAGAGCTCAGTTCTCAGGACCCCCGACATGACAATTTCTGGCCCGAAACCTACCAACACCCTCCCCCGCGCCTCCACCACGCCCCGGCACCCCCACCCCAGAGAGCTCAATTCTTGGGACCCTCCACACGTCAACTTCTGGCCCGAAACCTACGAACACCCCCTCCCGCGCCCCCACCACGTCCCAGCACCCCCACCCCACGAGTGCTCAGTTCTTGGGACCCCCCCCACGAGAATTTCTGGCCCAAAACCTACCAACACACACACACACACACACACACACACACACACACACACACACGCGCGCCCCCACCACGTCCCCGCACCCCCACTCCACGAGGGCTCAGTTCTTCAGGCCCCCCACACGACAATTTTTGGCCCGAAACCTACCAACACCTCCCCGCGCCCCCACGACGTCCCCGCACCCCCCACCCCACGAGAGCTCAGCTCTTGGGACCCCCCACAAGACAATTTCTGGCCCGAAACCTACCCCCCCCCCGCGCCCCCACCACGTCCCGGCACCCACACCCCACGAGAGCTCAGTTCTTGGGACCCCCACACACAACAATTTCTGGCCCGAAGCCCATCAAAGTATAAAGCATTTCTTTCCATTAAGTCCTTGGAGGATTTAAGCACTTGCTTCCGTTCGGCCTTCTGACGGCCCGAGACGGCCAAGCCTCCAAGATGGCCCCAGAACGACTCAAGAGGCAAGACGGCCCCAAGAGGGCCCCATGACGGCCCAAGAGGCCTCCGGGACGCTCCAAGACGGCCCAGGAGCACCCCAAGAGGGCCCCGGGTCGGTCCAGAGAGGCCTCCAAGACGGCTTCCGACGGCGTCAGACGGGCCAGGAACGCCCTATGATGGGCAAATAAGCCCCCGAGAAGTCTCCACAGGCCCCCAGGAGGCCCAAGGAGGCCCCCAAGATGCCTCCAAGAGGCTCCCAGGAAGTCCCCAGGAGGCCTCAAGAGTGCCCCCCAGAGGCTCCCAATATGTCCCCTGCCCCATTCCTCTTCCTTATAGATAACTTCTCCCTGCCGCATGCCGAGGCAATTGTTTAGTGCGGTCCGGGCGTTTCGCCTGGGATATCCTCACCATGTATGGCCCTGAAGCCTCAAATGATAACAGTTACGCAAATGGAGGGCGGGTGGTTTTCAAAATGCGGCTCTCGCCAAAGCGCCGCGCACATTCATCTCAAATAGTTGCAAGGGTTTCATGGATTGAGGGCGATATGTTTTCAAAATGTGGCTCTCGCCTTAGCGCCGCGCACAGTCATTTCAAACTTTTGCTAGAGCTTCACGGATTGAGGGCACAGTTACGCTGGTTCGCGGTATGAACTCCCAAGAACGGCGTTCTGGCACGATTCAGGATCGTCAAGACGCAGCAGTCAGATTGATCCGTGGCGTTGGAATCCTGAGAACGATGTTTTGGCATGCGTCAGGGACTTCAAACGGTTGTCTTCCAGCGAGGCAGTTCCCTCAGTGGAAATGAACCCTTGTAGGGGCCTATGAAGTGGGAGCTTGGAGGGAGGGTTTATTCTAACATCGTCGATGACTCTTGGGTTTACACTGGTCCTCCTCCTCCTCCTCCTCCTCCTCCTCCTCCTCCTCCTCCTCCTCCTCCTCCTCCTCATCCTCATCCTCATCCTCCCCCTCCTCCTTCTGATCTTCCCCTGTCATCCCCCCCCAAGTGTTTCCCGAATTGTTTCCACAACGGCTGGGGGAGCACATGGTCCGATAGCTTGGCAGAGCTCTCGCCACAACGCTCGGCCACATGGGCGATTCCAAAAGTCAGGGGGCGGAGGTGATTCGCCGTAGGCGTCTTCGATATTGCCCGAATGCTGTCGAAGGTCCGTGCAACACAAGTCCGCACGCCCCGCCATAACCAGCTCCACACC